TCAGGTAACAGCATTTTCTGAAGTATTATGGGTATTCTAACGACATTATTTTGTATGATACAAGTGATAAGTGTGTCTTAAATGTTTTGCTACATTTTACTAGTAAACAGTCATTCATACAGCATCTCTAGAGATTTTGCTCGTAAATCATCACTGATCTCACAGTAGCATGAGGCTGGATCCAAATGTGTCCTTGGGAGACTGGAAGACAAGTGTTCACACAGGGTGGGGACAATTCTTTTCATAGATTTCCCACTTGAGAGGAAAGCACTTCACTCTGAATTTCATGCTGTTTTTGAACAGATAGCATCTCTTAAGTGCAACTTTCAGGTGGCAGAGGAGACTGCAGAAGAGAGGGAAAGGTGAGATAAGAACTGTTCTGCTTGCAGTTCTTTGGATTCAACCCAGAGAGCAACTCTTCTGCACAAGTTTATGGATTCACTGTTAGTTGTATACATATTTCATCCTGACTTGTACATGAGATCAAAGACCTCTTTGATAAGTGGAAGAGCACTTCTGTTCATAGAGGAAGGATGGTATGACTTGACAATTCTTCCCTCTTAGTTAAAACCTCCAGGTCGCATTCCTGATTATACCTGACCCCCACCCCCCAAGCAACTTCTAAGATACCTTCAGTGGGAAGGAAGATGCAGGGCAATCTATCCCACAATCAGAATTCTGCTCATGGTCCTTTGAATCTGACCCAGTTACTCCAATGAGAATATTACACAAATTCGATTGAAACTTTATCCCAGTTTTTTTTGTTTTTGTGTTGACAGCCCCATTTAGAGATCTGTGGATACAGCCAGTTATAGCTTCCAAGGATTCCCATTTCTATGCTTTGTCTGCTAGCTGATCTTGACAGCCAGTTTGGTGTAGTGGTTAAGAGTGTGGATTCTAATCTGGGAGAACTGGGTTTAATTCCCCACTCCTCCACACGCAGCTGCTGATGTGACCTTGGGTCAGTCATAAATTCTTTCAGAGCTGTTCTCTCAAGGGCAGTTCTCGAGAGAGCTCTCTCAGCCCCACCTACCTCACAGGGTGTCTGTTGTGGGGAAGGGAAAGGGATTGTAAGCTGCTCTGAGACTCCTTCGGGTAGTGAAGGGTGGGGTATAAATCCAATCTCTTATCTTCTTCTCTTCTGATCCTGGTATTGCTTTGGCTGTGGCTGAATTGCTGACAGCAGTAGCTTCTATGCAAGGATGTAGATTCCCAGTAGTAACATATGTTTGCGGGAGTTGGACCACAAGGAAGGCCGAGTGCCAAAGAATAGATGCTTTCAAATTATGGTGCTGGAGAAGACTCTTGAGATCAAATCAGTCAATCCTAAAAGAAATCAACCCTGACTGTTCCCTGGAAGGCCAGGTACTGAAGCTGAAGCTCAAATACTTTGGCCACCAAATGAGAAGGGAGCACTCACTGGAGAAGACCCTGATGCTGGGAAAGATTGAAGGTCAAAGAAGAAGAGGATGGCAAAGGATGAGATGGTTAGACAGTGTCATCGATGCAACGAACATGAAATCAAGCAAACTCCGGAGGACGGCAGAAGACAGGAGGGCCTGGCGTGATGTTGTCCATTGAGTCGCAAAGAGTCGGACTCAACTGTGCAACTGAACAACAACAAATTTGTAGATTGCTGGGTCATCAGATTGTTAAACAAAGTAACAAAAATAAAACTTGAGTTCCATTTAAACCAATGGGACAGGTTAGTTGGTTTTGTGGGACTTAAACCTTGCCAACATTCTTAGAACTGGGCCAGTTTTTGGAATTGTCTGGCTGACCTTGAGCAAATGAGTTCAGTCAATTGTAAATGGTCTTTTTCATTGATATGAATTTCTTTTGTTCTCCCCCATCTTTAGCTTTTTAGAGAGTTTCAGTCTCTAGCACATAAGGATATTTGTAAGAAAACAGCTGAGATTCTGGAGAAATATTCAGACAACATACTAACTTCATACTTGATGAAGAATAATCCAATCAGTCTTGCTCTGCAAGAATGTCTGAAACAGCGTATGGAAGATGACGTTCTGAAATGTTGGTTATAAACACATCTAGTATTTAAAGTAGTGGATGGATTTACTATTCTGTTTGTGTAACAGAAAAACTAAGCAATCATTGTGTTGAAGTGCACTAAGAAATGTCTGTTTGGTTCTTTAGGGTAGATTCCAAGTAGAGTCTAAACAGTTTATTATCTGAGGAAGGCAATTCAATTACTCATATTTGAAATGCTGAACTCTATCTTTAAAACAAAATTTGAGTCCAGTGGCACCTTTCAGACCAACAAAGTTTTAAAGGTGCCACTGGACTCAAATTTTGTTCTACTGCTTTAGACCAACACTGTTGCCCTCCTGGATTTACCTTTAAAAGATATGAAATGTGGGGGAAAAACAACCCAATGTTACCACTAAGGGTAGGAAATACATCCACAGCACATTCTACTCAGGGTACTTCGTTATAAATTGCCTCTTGGAGCTGTTCCTCTTCTGCCTCTAATCTTGTGACATGTACATTTACTTTTAACAGTTATGAAGACAACCACCACATGCGTACTTTTGCCAGTTGTTTTTGGAGAGGATTCCTTTTTGTTTGCTGCTGTAAATGAGGAGGTATGTAAAAATCCTGCATTGTTCTATATTCATGTAACAAGGTCTTCAGTCAGGGACACCCTTGATGACTGCCAACATCATAAGCACATAGAAATGTTTTTCTCTGTTGTCCAGAGTGTCAGTTAGGCTCTGGCTCCCAAGCTCTGTGCCCCTGCCTGCAAAGGTGAGGCAGGTAGTGACTAGTAGAGACAACATTTTCAGTGGTAGCATCTTGCCTTTGGAATGCCCTCATCCTTGAAACTTACCTGGCCTTTTACCCAGGCTTTTAATGTGAGGGGGGATATTTATTTTGGCTGTTTTTATCAGCTACTCCTAGCCTGTGTTGTATGGATGTTTTTAGGCTGTTCAATGGTAGCTTTATGCTGTTTTTATGCCTATGGCTTTTTTTAAATAGTTTTAATACTGATTGTCTATATTGCTGTGTTTTGGGATATTATTTTTACTTGTTTCAGAGGGCAGCTATGTTGGTTTGCAGTAGAACAGCTAGGTTCAAGTCCAAGTATCTGATGGAGGGAAATCTGATTCTCCAAAGCTTATATCCCCAGAATCTTGTTTGTCTCTAAGGTGCTACTGGACTCAATAATACTAGCTGTTTTTACTTGTGAGTCTCTAGAAAGCAGCATATAAGTTCTTGAAACATTTATTGATCAACCCTGGTCATAAGTGGCTTCTTCTAGAAAGAATGGCAGAGGCCTGTTGGCATCTGTCCTGAAGGAGGAGGTAGACTATCTGGTGGTCTGCTGTGACCGTTTTTGCTTGACACTTTGCGAATAAAATCTCTTGCATCTGTACTGACTTGCACTCTACATTAGCAGTGACAGGTCAGATGGTGCCAGGGTGTTGACTGGTCCAGCTGTTTGGGATGTTTTTCATTTTATTCAGTCTGAGGATGTGGACAGGATATGGATGGTGACTATCAACCAATTTCAAATATTCCATTCTTGAGCACAGTGATTGAATAGGTGTTGGATGGACAACTTCAAGCTTTCCTGGATTATGTGGACTCTTTGGCTCCTTTCCAGTCCAGTTTCAGGTCTGATTACAGATGGAAACAGCCTTGGTTGCCCTAGCAAATGACGTGTTCCAGGAAATGGACAGCGGGACTGTGACTCTGTTGCTTCTCCTGGACTTCTCAGTAGCTCAGTCACAGTATCCTTCTGTTATATTCAAGTCCAGTAGCACCTCAGAGACCAACAAGTTTCAGGGTATAAGCTTTCAAGAGTCAAAGCTCCCTTCATCTTTGACTCTGGAAAGCTTGTTGGTCTTTAAGGTGTTACTAGACTCAAATCTGTTTTACTGCAGGCCACCACAACTACCCTCTGAAAGTATCCTTCTGGATCGACTTTCCGGGCTGCTACTGAGAGGCACCATTTTGCAGTAGTTCCAATCCTACCTGCAGGTTAGGTTTCTGAAGATGGTGCTGGTAGACTGCTGCTAGGGTTGCCAGCCTCCAGGTGGGGCCTGGGGATCTCCCACTTTTACAACTGATCTCCAGCTGACAGAGATCAGCTCCCCGGTAGAAAATGGCTGCTTTGAAGGGTGGACTCTATGGCATTGTACCATGCTGAGGCCCCTCCCCCAACCCCGCCCTCTCCTGGATCCACCCCCAAAGTCTCCAGGTATTTCCTCACACAGACCTGGCAATCCTAACTGCTGCTCAGCACCTTGACCTTTGGTCTATGGGGTCCTACAAGGCTCCAACTCCTGCAAGGCTCTGTATGCTGCTTTTCAACATCTACATGAAACCACTGGGTGAGGTCATCTGGAGATTTGGGCTGGGTTGTCACCAATATGTGATTGGCCCTCTGGTCTAGTTCACACTTCCGTCTGATCCCAAGGAATCTGTAGAAACCTTGACTCAATTCCTGGAGGCAATTGAGTTGATGCAAACTAATACACTTAAGTGCAACAAGATGGGGTGCTGCTGGAGAGCAAAATGTCTGACCTGGAATTTAAGAAGTCACTTGTTCTGGATGGAGTTGCACTCAAGTCTGTAGTTTGGTTATGCTCTTGGATCCAAAGCCTACAGCTGAAAAAGCAAGAGGCAAATGTTGCCAGGAGTGCCTTTTACCAACTTTCACTGGTTAGCCAGCTGTGGCCTTTCCTGGGCAGAAAAGATCTGATTAGTGTGGTGAATGCCCTGGTTACATTGATGTTAGATTACTGCAATGTACTCTATGTGAGGTGCCCTTGAAAAGAGTTCAGAAATTTCAGTTGGTGCAGAATGCTGCACCCAGGATGTTAACTTGAGTTGGTTATAGGGGCCATATCACTCCAGTTTCGGCCCATCTACACTAGCTCCCAATTTGTTGCAGTACAGTTCAGTTCAATGTACTGATGTTGACATTTAAAGCCCTATATGGCTTGGGACCACCATACTGAAGGACTGCCTACTCCTTTACAAACCTACCTGACCACGTCAACCATCTTCTAAAACCATGCTTCTGAAATTAGGCATGTGGCAACCTGAGTTGTTTTGGTTGTGGGGAAAAACTCTGGAACTCTCTAGAGACTCATCTGTCCTCTTCTGCTGGCCTCCTCTGCCTGAAGGTGAAGGCTTTGCTGTTTTGTCTGGTGTTTTGTTGGCCAATATTTTAATTGTTTTTTGTATGTATATTTCAGCTTGATCGTTTTCATTGTTTTGTTTGGTTTTAATGGTTTTTTAAAATGTGTTTTAATTATGTTTTTTAATCTGTGGGCAGAGTATATATTTTATAAACAAATAAATAAAGGTAACCCAGTAATAAGAACTAAACAGGGGTGAGTAGCAGAGAGTCTTAATCTCTGATCATATAATTGAGCCTATACTATTTAATCCATTTTTCAGCTCTCTTGCTTTCAGTAGTTGTTTGATAACAAGTATCAAGGATTAGTATGAAAGCAAGGGCTGTTTTCTACAGATTTGTTATGCTGCTGCTGCTTCTGAGTGTTTATATGGCTGGTGGACCCAGATGATGTCATTATCTCTCTTGAAGGCTGCAAACCTGGGAAGATCATTTTTTTTACAAAAGCAACTAAAATATATTACACACTGTGCCGGGACACAGAGCTCTGTGTTTACAGGCTCATAGTCTCGATAAAAATGGGTGGCACAATGAGAAGAGACTTCAAATGTAAGAAACCTTTGGTTTTGATGCGTAGAAGACCCTTTCCCATTATTTTTCTCAACTAGGTAAGAGTGTCGACACCAGTGCTGGAAGTAAAATACCAGTTTAGTGTAAACATGTGTGAGTTTTCTCTGTTTGTGGAAAAGGAGAAACTGGCCCAGCTGGATGACTGTACAGTGGCCCTGGCTGCTCTGTTGGCTACGTATCACGCCTTTTGCATTCCATTCCCTGAAATGGCTCTACAATACACTCACCTTTTTGGAATCCCTCATCTTTGAAGTGAAACGCCCACAGTTACTGTTTGTAAAATACAAAAGAACTCAAAAATGTGAACAGCCTAACAGTTAATAAGGCACTTTTTAATGAGCATTCTCTTGAGAGTAAATCCTAATTCATCAGATATTTTATTTAATTGCTGAGGGTCTTCAATATATAAAAAAACATTTTGTTTTGCTAATGAGCAAGAGTTTCAATAGTAACCAGTTGTGTTTCCGAACAAATCTTCAGTGTTTTGATCAAGTGTAAATTCAGTCAAAGTAATGTAACATGGATTTCTTTTAGGATAGACTCTTAGCTTTTCTACTTGAATGTCCTGTGTACCTGAGTCCAACCATTTGGTAACATGCATAAATGTTCACAAAAAGACTTGGCATAACTTGATTTTTAAAATAATTCATGGACACTGTATAGCACCAAGTATTAAATGTGTATTTATAAAACTTTGCCTCTGTGTCTCAATGGTACATAGCAACATACATGGACATGACAAAAGAAATTCATGAAAAATTCTTCATATCCATTTTCAGATGAATTCTATAGAAACAATGTTCAAGACGCTTGAAACACCTTAATTTTTTAAAGCTGAGAATCCAAGGAATATGCTGTTTCAGATGTTATAGGGTGCAGTGTAGGTCCCCCCCAGCTCTTCAATAACATGTAAAAAAGTACCACGAAGGATCACACACTCCCTTATGAAACTGCCTGATCCGTATGGTCATCTTAGGAGACCTTGCTTCGGGTGCTTCCACCTTCTAAGATTAGGCAGGTGGCAACTTGGAGAGGTCCTTCTTGGTTATGGCAACAACATTCTGGAACACTCTTGTGATGGACTGCACTTTTAAAAGCTTAGAAGTGTGCTGTACAAACAAGTAAAGGACTGAAGGGTTAATTCTTCACAGAGCTAGAAAGCCTTGAGTGGCAGGCTATTCCAAGATATCTGATTGGCTAGCATCAGCTGAGCAGTTTAAAACCAACAGGAAAACTGGGCAAAGTTGGCAAGGACAACTTTCAGGCCAAAGAAAGGAGATAGATCTTCTAGAGAGAAGGAATTTCCCTACCCAGTCTAAACAGGGTGATAGCTCTGAAGAGCACAGAGATCCCTGGTCTGGTGTGGTAAGAAACTGCCCTTAGAGACCTTAAGAGTCAGTTAAAATCTCAAGACGAGTGCTGATGTTTCAAAAGAAGGGGTATGGGTACTGGAAAGAATGTACCAGCCTTATGGAAATAAAAAGAGTTAGAGAATACTCAAAGAAAGTGTACTGAAGTGTTTGGGGAAAACAATGGAACAAACGCCTCTCAGCATAAGGATTTAAGTCACTGTGAAAAGCTTACGAAACTCTCATTAGCCTGAAACACAAGAACTAAAGTCTGTGCATATACTGGTTTTACCTCAGAAATTTCAACCCCTGATTTAACCTGACCTCTATGTTGAATAAAATATTTTGTTAATTTGGAATATAAAAACATCTCGAGTGCCATTAAAGTTAAAGGGGGCTCCCAATCCTTCCCTCAGGTTCCTGGCCTAAGCAAACAGCCAAAATATTATACTTTGTCACGGTGGGACAGCCAGAGTTCTTCAGGAAAGAAGAAAACATTACTAGGGCAGCTCAGTCAGACATGAAAAGAACAATTGAGGGAAGTTAGACAGGGATGTCATAGCTCTCCCCAGGGAGATTCGTCTATCCCCTTCTGTTGCTATCTTCTGCCGGCAGGTGAAGACTTACTTTGGCATTCCCTCAATGATCCTTCCTTCCTACACAATGGTTTGCGTATATTTTAACTGTTTTAATGATGTGTGTTGGGGCTGGTGATTTTATTGGTTTTAAAATGTGATTTTATCATTTATGTTTTAAAAATTTAGGCACCTTGGTGGTCCTTGTAAGGAAAGAAAGATGGGATACAAATTTTATGACTAAATAATAAATAAAATTTGGGCAGAATAACAGGTTCCAGCAGGCCCTTAAGACAGCAAGTAAACACACCACCACATTCACATCATTTTTATTTAAACATTACCAGACAGGTGTTGGACCAACCAATACCAAAACACATACTTCCCCTTCACTAGTTTATGTGTTTCTTATGAGACATAACCCCACCTTTCTTCATTATTTTTGCAGCCAATACAAACCATCTACAGAATTGTCTGGTTACAACTTCTCAAATATGTTTTGTGCTTAGATAGGTTGATGCCAAGTAACTAATGATGTAAGTTCATGGGAGCTATTTGTTGAGAAATGGACTAATTTATGGTTTTATATCTGCTACACACGCTACACATGGACTGTGCACACATCTGTATACCATGAGCCAAAGAAAGCTGTTTGCATCACCTACTGTGAGAGAGATTTCACATAGGGAACGCTTGCCTGCATTTTATGTTAATGTAGCTTGCACACATTCAGCGCAAGGCATTGTGGGAAAAAGGAGCACGTTAGCCATTGTGAGTAGAGAACAATAACTAGGAGAAGAAATCCCCCATTGCTGAAGAGACTAGATGTCACGCAGGACACGGACCTGATCTGCATTTGAATTGCTGTTTCCTGTTGATGGTGCCTTGAATGCCTGGGAAAGCCAAGATTCATCTGTACTTCAAAGGGGATGCAGGAAGCTGACATTTCACACCTGGCCAGATGGCATTCCATGAGATAGAGTGTAGTATTTCAAATATCGCCCAACCCATAGAATACCTGCCCCTTTTCTACATGCACCAATCAGGGAATTTATGGGATGGACTTGTAAGTAGGTGGGATTACAGATTGGCAAGGTGCCACCCACCTGGAGTTTCAACTATAAATCGAAAAGACCATGCTTTAGGTCTTTGGACTAGCCACATTTTACCATCAACGCAAACACCATGCTGCAAGTCTTCTGGCTGGCCACATTCTACTCCCCCCCCTTTCATGCTTTAAAACTTTTTGTCTTTACCGGATCTCTCTGGGATGTGCAGTCAGAGAGATCCACTCACACGCATGCACACACACTTGACCGGCTGGTTCTGGAACAGTGTGATGTAGGTAAAACTTCTAGACACTATTTTCTGTCCCTTTATTCTTCATTGCAACAGACAAGACTTCTGGAACCAGGCAAGTATGAACTGATTCTCCTGCCCACCTCCAAGTAAATAAGAAACTATCTATATATCTAATCTCCAACAGATGGCGCCGTGCGGATACTTAGTCCCAGGAAAAGGAAGCTCCCTCTGGCCCAGGAGCTTCTCCTACATATTCAGTAGTCTACCAGTGCCTGCAGAAAAATCCAAAAACTAGAAAAAACCATTCAGGGATGGCTGAATTTCCCCCAAAACCTTTTGAAATGGCCTCTGCAGGGATCTGCTTCAGACACCAACTGTGAGAGAGAGGTTAGAACGTTCAGGGCGGGGGGGAAGAGGCTTCTAACCGGCTCTGTGAGTCAAAGGGTGTGGGGGAAGGGCCCTTTTCCAGGCCTCCTTTGGCTTTTCAGGGAGGGAGGGAGTCTTGGGGCCTGGCCTGGGGAGTCCCTAGAGGTTTTGAGGTCGGATTGGGGAAGGGAGAGGCCACAGCTGGGTATAATGCCACAGAGTCCACCTTCTAAAGCAGTCATTTTCTCCAGGGAGACAGATCTCTGCTGCCTTGAGTTCAGTTGTAAGTCTGGGGTGGGGGGGGTTCCTTCAGGCCCCACTTAGAGGTTGCCAAGCCTAGGCCTGGCAGCACTTTAAGGTTGCCAGGTTCCCCCCCTGGCCACCGACGGGATTCTGGATAAGGTTGCCAGGTCCAGGCTGGGAAACTCCTGGAGATTTGCGGGAGGAGCCTGGGGAGGACAGGGACCTCAGTGGGGTACAATGTCACAGAGTCCACCCTCCAAAGCATCCATTTTCTCCATGGGAAGTTATCTCTGTAGTCTGGAAATGAGCAGGAATTACAGGGGATCCCCAGGTCCCACCTGGAGGCTGGCATCCCTCGGCAGCACCCTCTGGGTGACTTGATACCACCTGATTTGCATGACTCAAGTAGGCCCAGCTGCTTGCTACTGTTCATCAGCAGCCACCCTATGAAAGCCGGTGCGGTGCA